TTATACTCCTGAGCTCAAATGAACCACCTACCTTGGCCTCCCAAGGTGCTAGGATTACAGATGTGAGCCACCACAAGGGCACTATCTTACATGCGGTCAGGGGTGTGCTAGGGCCAGCTCACATTGTCTTGGGAAAAGCAAGTATATGTGTCTCTTCCCAACTCCAGCTGTGCTATAGATCAGGGTATACCCACTACCAGAACTGGTTGTTAAGCACTTAGCAGCATACCAGAAGGAGGTCACTGAAGAGAAAGAAGCAAGCCCAGAGTCATGAGAAACGAAGCAACTGTGAAAGACAAGGCCCTGTTTTAAAATGTGAGTTACCGCCATAAATTCCAAGGAATCAAACAACACCAAAACAAAACAAAAAACCACACAACGAACTATAGTCAACCATGTGTGGTGACAATTTCCCTCATTACAGTGAGGGGAAGGGTCTGGTGGTGGTTTGGTTTGGCTTTGAAATTGTAATTCTTTTATTATCTCCATACTGACATGCATACACACAAAAGCAGAGGGATAGTTACAGTTCCTGGGTAATTTGAAAAAAACATAAAATTCACCTGCAAAAATATGTAAGCATAACCTGTAATATACCACTTTGGGAAACTATAATCATATCATTTTAAACCTTTGGAGTCTGGGTGATTCATGGAAACACAGGATTTCACGAACAAAAATAAGCTGAAGAGGCACACCCACTTATTTTTGGCGTAGAGAAATTTAGGCTCTAAGAATGTGACTGGACTGACGGCAAGCTTATTCTAGAACCCAGGTCACCGGCCTCATCTGATGTCATCTTCTCAATTTTGGTCTATACCCTAGTGCAGTGGTTCTTAAAACTGAGTGAGCATCAGAATCCCTTGAGGGCATACATAGTAAAACAAACCATGGATGCTACCCCACACCACTCCATCCCCTGCAAAGCTTCTGAATTGGTAGAACTAAGGTAAGGCCCAGGAATTTGCATTTCTAACAAGTTCCCAGGTGATACTAATGCCACTAATCTGAGGACCTCACTTGGAGAACCCACTGTTCCAGGAATTAGGAGTACTGGCTTTGGAATCAGACACAGCTGAGTTCCAGCTCTACTTCTGCCACTGCAGTATGACCCTTGGAAAAGTTATCCAAATTCTCTGAACCTCAGTTTTTAACATCTGAGTCCAACTGTAAGGACTGAAAAAAGAGAATACCCGTAAAGCATCAGCTTAGCCAGGCGCCTGGTAATTCTAAGGCAAGACCTTAATAATACTAGCGGCATCCTATACCCTGTATCAAAGTTTCCTTAATTACATTTTTCCCATGCATATATTAGAATGGCTAATATTCGAAAGACAAAATCAAAGATTGGCAAAGATGTAGAGCAACTAAAGCATTAATAATAGCAGCTTTGATTGTAATAGTCAAAAATGGCAAACACTCTAAACGTCCATCAACAAGCAAAAGGATAAACTAGTATGTGTATACAATGGAGTAGTACTAAACAATAAAAAAAAGAGCCAAATGAAGTATATGTGCTCCAGTACGAAATCTCCAAAATTTCATATTGGAGATATGAAAAGCCAAACACAAAAGAGTACATACTGCATTAGTTCATTTTTATGAAGTTTAAGACAAAAGTATTCTATGGTAAATCTATGGTGCAGCGGGAAGAGGAATTAACTGGACAGGAGCATGAAAAAAATTTCTGGGGTGATGAAAATGTTCTCTATCTTGAGTGATTAACATGAGTGCGTACATTTCTTAAAACTCATCAAATTATATACCTAAGATCTATGTACTTTACTATAGGTGAATGATACCTGAATATACATACATAATTATATATAATTTTGTAAAGCCATTTTATGACAAAGGACTGTCTTCTCCATTTAAAATCAACCAACTCCAACCTGGCAGATCCACTGAGTTTGATTCCTGCACAATCCAGTCCTGCCACAGACAGCTTTGGTCCATGTATCTTTCCAGAGAACGGACATGAAATAGAAACAGCAGAATTTTCTCCCACTATACAGTCAGTATCCAGAGTGACCCATGTTCCTGGGAGTGACTAAGTTGGTATGCAAACAACACAAAAGCAACAGTTTTCTTTACATATACCATGTATGAGTCTACCTGATACGATTTTAAAAGGCATAGTAATGAAGACACATTAAGAGCAATTCTGTCATACAGTTTAAATCATATTCTCAACATGGAAGAGGGAACAGAAAACTGGTGAAACAGTTGCTAGGGCCCAACTTTACTGGTAATGAAGACGTCAGAAGATCCAACTGTACCGGTGTAATTATTACATGAAATAGTCACTTTGAGGGCCAGGCGCAGTAGCTCATGCCTGTAATCCCAGCACTTTGGGAGGCCGAGGTGGGTGGATCACCTGAGGTCAGGAATTCAAGACCAGCTTGGTCAACATGGTGAAACCCTGTCTCTACTAAACATACAAAAATTAGCTGGGTGTGGTGGCGGCCCCTGTAATCCCAGCTACTTGGGAGGCTGAGGCAGGAGAATCGCTTGAACCCAGGAGCGGGGATGTTGCAGTGAGCTGAGATCATGCCATTGCCCTCCAGCCTAGGTGACAGAGCAAAACTCTGTCTCAAAAAAAACAAGAAATAGTCACTTTCAGATAGTAATGAATTCCAGGCCATTCAGGTTTCCCAATCAGTATCATATTTCTATCCCATTACAAGTAGATTCACATACATACATATATACATACACACGCACGCTCGCTCCTGCTGTGAACAATCTGTGCACACTGGGTGAAGAGAGCTAACACTTGGAGACACTACAGTTTCCTTGCAACTCAGAGTTGTCTGATTCCAAACCCACTTGATTATCTCACCAAGCCTTCCTAAACTCCATGATGAGACAGCCCTGGGACAATGACTCCCAGGTCTTTGCCAACTGGTGGCCATGCAGCATCTTGCACTCTGCAAACACTGCAAACCAGCCCCTATGCAGGACTCATTAGACACTGCTAGACATCCCACCAGTTGGGCAGGTACCCTTCCCTGTCCTTCCTCCACCCTTTCTCCAAAATGGTCCTGAACTGAGACCTGCAGCTGCTCCCATCAAATGCCTTCACACAGTATTTTCTCTATAGCTCTATCAAGTCATAATTATCCAGGTTCCTGACACTAAAAACTACTTTCAGAAATAAATAGCTGCTCAAAATCAATTAAAACATAAATAGCTAATCTTTATGGAGCACTCACTATGTACAGGCACTGTTGGGGGCACTTTCCACTTGTTAGCTTATGTAATACCCACAAGAAAGTCAGTGTGAGGAAGACGCATTGTCAGGCCAGGCAATGTTTTGAACCTCACGAAGAACCTGGAGAGATATGTCAGGAATGAGGCACAATCTCTCCCTTTAATGAGCTCACTACCTTGTATGGAAATGAGGACCTAACTCATAGTTCAGAGTAAGTAAAAAACCGCAAGGCAGACATTAAAGGGACCCAAAGGAGGAGGAATTTGTTCATCCTAGCAGGATGCTGGAGGGCTTCTTGGAGGAGGTATCCAGGTGGAGAATGATGTCATAAATGCTTGGAGCTTTCCATAGCTAAGTGTCAGCTCCTCAGCTCCCAAAGCTGCTAAAAGGCCAGTCTAGTCCCCCTGCCCCCTCCTCAATTTCATCTGGAACATGCCTGTTTCCAAGAGAGGACCAGCTTGCCTTTGCCCAGCCCTTCCTTTGACACATGCCTCCAGCTACTGCCTGTCCTTATGGAAACAAATGGGAACTTTTCATCCCATTCAACTTCACCACTTCCTTTGGTGCTTTCCCTGGGGAGAACCTGCGTCATGGCACTTGGTTGCACAAGGGACCCCTTTAATGACTTTAGTTGTTCTTCGCTGGGTTGATATGAGGACAGCCCCTCGTCTGTACCAAGGTGAGATGTAAGGGACCTACCATCACCAGCAACCACCCAATGCATCTTTCAAAAGGCCGCCCCTCCTCTACAGATTTCTGAGAGAGGAATTTGCTTCCATTCCCTCCTTGAGAATCAGCCTCTCCAGTCCTGTAGGGTCATCCCCCGACTCCTTCCTTCTCCGTACTTAAGGCTCTGCAACAAGGATTCAACCCCTTGCTTTTGGCAACTGTGTGACCTTACGCAAGTCACTTAACCCATGTCAATCCCAGTTTCCTTATCTCTAAATGGGGTATATAAGAACCACTCTTTCTTAGAACTGTTGTGAGTCGGAGTGAGATAGTGCAAGTAAAGTATTTTACACAGAGCCGGGCATGTAGTAAACTAACAATGAATAGTAGCTTCATTATCATCATCGATAATGACGATGGTGGTGGCGGTGGCAGGGTAAACTTGGACCCGATTCGAGCTCAAAGCAAACACCCCCTCCCCCCTCCCATGCCTAAGGCTGGGCCACACGGTGGAGACACATGCGTCATCCTGCTGAGGGGTGAATGCAGGCTCTTCTTGCGGCGGGTTCAGGAATCACCAGGCAGTCGTGTCCTAGCTCACCTGGAGGGGTCGCGGGGTGAAGCAGATTTTCTGATGGGGGAGGTCCAATAAACTGCAGACCCTCTCTTTCTGTATAGCCACTCACCAAGTACGGAAACTGACTCGTGGCCAAAGAACGCCAACTGCATCCCTCCCCCGAGGAGCCAGGACAGCGTCCACCGTGCCTCTGACTCAGTTCCCCAACTCTCCCTCGGGTGCAGGTGAGACTACGCTGCACTTGGTGGCGGAGATAACGGTTGGCCAGCCAGGCCTGGGAAACATCCGTCCCCTCCCACCGCGACCCCCCCTCCCCCGCCGCTACCTTGCGCAAACCCAGCCCCCTCTTCCAAACGCAGGTGGGCAAACAACCCACAACCTCGCAACAACTTTGTGTATTTCACCACCACCACAGGGCGCACGGCCTCAACTTCTCTTCGCTGCGCTCTGAGGAGAAAAGCGGGAAATCGAGGATGAGGGGCAGCCCACAGACCGCCGTCCTTTCCTACGGGCGCCCCCCAAAGGCGCGCCCCGCCTTACCTTGTCTGACGGCTTTGAAGGTGACGGCCTCCTTGCAGCTGTCGATGACCCCCAGCACGTCATAGCGGGGCAAGCCGGACACCCGGACCCCCTGCACCTCCAGAAGCAGCTCCCCTTCCCCCAGCCTCGGGCCCTCGCCGCCGCCGGGAAGCCCCGCCGCCTCGGCCGCCGCCACCGCTCCGACGTACGGAAACTCCCCGTGCTCCGCGCCTCCCAGCACCGTCACCCCCAGCTCGCCCTGGGGTCCCCGCTTCACGGTGCATTCGTGAACCCTGCTAGTCCAGTGGTTCTTCTTCTGGATCACTTTGGACATGATGAGTTACACCCCTCCTCCAAAAAAATAAAATAAAACGAGAGACAGGTGCCCCCCACAGCACGAGCCCCCAAGCCTCCGCTGGTTCATGGGAGAAACATCTCTCCCCGAATCACAAAACAGGAGAGAGAAACTTGGCAGCCTCGCTCCCCTGCACACGCTCGCGCACTCAAGCCATCATAAAACAAACTTTCTGGGCTTCCCCGCGAGCCCCGCACCGGCGCCCGCGAGCTTTGTTTGCATTCCGGTGCCTCCGGGTCCACGTTCCGGCGCCCGCCCGTGCTCTCCGGACCAGAGTCCACTCTGCGCCGCTCGGGTTATTTCTTTTCCTTCCTTCCTTCCTTTCTCTCTTGCCTTTTACAAATGCGGTGCCTCCTCTTTGCCTCCCGCCCGGCTCTTCTCTCCTCGCGGGCGGGCTGTTCCTGAGGGTGAAGGAAGCCCTTCCAGCCAGTTGCCGGGAGCCGTGGAGACGCGGTGGCGGGGCCGTGGGGAGCGGGGCGGGAGGTAAGTGCCCGCGGCCCCTTTAAGCAGATACAAAGGCTCGGCTTGTTTTGTTACAGTTCATTCTATTCCGCGCCGCGGAGCGCAGCGGCCGGCGACAGGAGACGCGCGCGCATGCGCCCCGCGGCTGCCAGCCGGCCGGCCCACCCCTCCCCTCCCCTCCTCCTCTGAGGGAGAGATTCCAACGTGCTTCCCGATGGGTCCTAAAACCTACCGGCCCGGAGACGCCACCTCCCCCTCACTTTTCCTGAACCCCTCTCCTCCCGCCTCCTTTTCTTTCAGTGCCCTGGACCCCACGGATTCCTTTGGGCCAGGAGGGCCGCGCACGTGTTTTACTACAACTGTTAGCAACTTTTGAAACCGAGCAATCTGGCTTTGGCATTTGAAAACCATTTCAAACAGGTGGGGGTTGGGGAGGCTGCCACACTCACCCAGTCGCTCACACTCACGCACACGCGCACGCACTCGCGCTGGCCCTAAGCCTCCTAACTGCCCTCGGCCAGTGGCTGGCCAGGCTGTCGGTCACCCAGCCCGGCTGGTCCGCCGTCCCCCGCCGCAAGTCCCACTGAAACCCCTGAGACCCTCCCCAGGGCGCGAGCCGCCTCCCCGCCTGCCCTGCGCTCGCGGGTTCGGGTCCTGGCACGGGGTCTGCCAAGGTCTGTGCGACCCTGGGAAGCGGGACAGTGGGATTCCCCAGTCCCCGAACTGAGATCCCTGTGCTGGTCACACGCACCCTCGCACACACCCGCATCCTTAAACTTTGGGACCAACTTTTTAGGACACGGGAAGCTACAGGAGAGAGAGACCCCATGGGGTAGTGTGGGTTAAGGTCTTCAACCAAAAAAGAGATCCCTCTAGCTTTTCAACTGTCCTTCCAGCAGAGACTGCTGGAGCCAGGCTTCGGCCTGGCCTCAAGTTCCTGGCAATGCATCCGCGGCCAGGAGATAAGGATACCCGCCGGGCGTGCTTGTGCCCCAGCGTCCTGGCCCGCGGGGGCGTGGACGCGGGCGGCCACCTCTCAGAATTCGCAGCCCGGGGGTAGAGTGCGCTTAAAGTGACTTCTGTCCCAGGGAGGTGGCAGACAGAAAGAATCCTGCCCCCCAGGAAGGCTGCCCTTCCCAAATACTCAAATGGCCTGCGCAGTTCTGTCCCCAGCAGTTTCCTTTCCTCTTTAGTGATGTATAACTTTTGTTCATCTTTGGTCACAGGAGAGATTCCAAGAAATGAGGGTGGTACGTTGAAGCGATGGAGAAAGGATGGAATGCCACAGCGGTCGAGGCTGAGAGGTAGGCTCAGGGGTCTACCCTTGTGTGACCTTGAGCAAATTCGATGACCTCCGCGCCTCCGTTTCTCACTGATCAAATGAGTAGAACAAGACCTCACAGGGTGATTGGAAGTATCACATGGGAAAACACTTATAAAGTAGTATCTAAAGGCCGGGCGCAGTGGCTCATGCCTGTAATCCCAGCACTTTGGGAGGCTGAGGCGGGTGAATCACAAGGTCAGGAGTTCGATACCAGCCTGGCCAATATGGTCAAACCCTGTCTCTACCAAAAAAAAAATACAAAAAAAATTAGCCGGGTGTGGTGGCGGGCACCTATAGTCCCAACTACTCGGTAGGCTGAGGCAGAAGAATCGCTTGAACCTGGGAGGTGGAGATTGCAGTGAGCCAAGATTGTGTCATTGCAGTCCAGCCTGGGCGAAAGAGTGGGACTCCATCTCAAAAAAAATAAAATAAAATAAAGTGGTATATAGTAACTCATTATATTATTAATAGTAGTATTACTATTTGGGATGATAATTAGAAAATCATTTGGGGATTCAAGTTAGATAGTATGATCTAACTCCTTTCTAGAACTTAAAAAATATGGGCATGTGTATGTTTGTGTGTGTGTGTGTGTGTGTGTGTGTGCTTTTTTTTTTTTTTTAAAACGGGGTCTTGCTCTGTCCCCAAGCTGGAGTACAGTAGTTTGACCATATCTGATTGTAACCTCAAACTTCTGGGCCCAAGCAATCCTACCAAGTCAGCTTCCTGAGTATTTGGGACTATAGGCACACACCACCACACCCAGCTAGTTTTTTATTTTTTAACTTTTTGTAGACATGGGGGGTCTCCCTATGTTACCCAGGCTGGTCTCAAACTCCTGGGCTCAAGCCAACATCCCGCCTCAGCTTCCCTAAGTGCTGGGGTTACAGATGTGAGCCATCATACCCAGTTTAGGCATACGTTTAAATGTACTTTTAAAGCAATGTTTGTGGGGTGCTATTCTAAGCTAATAAAAATAAGGAGGGATGTTGATGCTTCTCTCTTGGGAGTTCCAGAACTGAAAATCCCATTGCATTGTTGTGTTTCTGAAAGAAGGAAGTGACCAATTTTCCATAGCTTTGCTTGATGAAAGCAACTTCATCTCCTGCTTCTTTTTTTCAGAAGCAATCTGAGTCAATATGAACAGCACTTCAAAGCATAAATTTTCAAACCCAAACACAGATCCAGCCAATCAGAATCTCAAGGAAGGGCTCAGTCATTTGGACTTTTAAAGTTCCTCTTAGGTTTAGTATCTTGACTGCAAAGCATTGTTTGGGTCCCAGATCCTTTTGTCCAATAAACCTGTGCTCCACATCTCTGTGTAAAATAAAAATTCAAGGAGGGCAGGACACTTTGACAATTTGATTTACTGATTTTATTATTATTATTATTGAAATGGAATCTTACTCTGTCACCCAGGCTGGAGTGCAGTGGCACAATCTTGGCTCACTGCAACCTCTACCTCCCGGTCCCAGATCAAGCAATTCTCCTGCCTCAGCCTCCAGAGTAGCTGGCATTACAGTCACATGCCACGATGCCCAGCTAATTATTCTATTTTTAGTAGAGATGGGGTTTTACCATGTTGGCCAGGCTAGTCTTGAACTCCAGACCTCATGATCCATCTGCCTCAGCCTCCCCAAAGTGCTGGGATTACAGGCATGAGGCACCACGCCCAGCCACTAATGTATTATTCCCAGTCCCTAGAATGGTGCCTTGTACTAGTAAATGCTCAAATATTTATCAAATGACTCTTTCCACAAAAATGTACATTTTTTACGTTCCATGTTAGTGGGGAGTCTCAAATTCCCCTATAAATCATTAGTAAGCTTAGTAAGCTTAACCTTCTGTTTTTCCCCACTTTGCCACTTCATATTCTAGTAACGTGTAATTGTTTGCTAAGAATACCCATAACCAACCTTGAATTAGGAGTTCCCGACCTACCCACTCAACTTTCACCTCCACCTGGGGGAGTCCAAGGGCTGGACAAGACCAGGCGTTTTGTGATTCCTCCCACTGCAACAATATCCCCCGCTTGCCAGGATTCCAGGTGTCCCCACAGCAGCCAACAAAGGAAAGAACTTGGAATTTAGTACATGTCAGGTTTTAGATGTGGAAAAGACCCAAGAGAAGAAGGAGTACCTATGGATACAGAGAGCATTATGGAGAAAAGAACGACATTATTCTAATCCAGGAAAATAAAAAATAATTTCAACCTTTAAAGTAGCCAAGGTTTGTAAATCAACAGGAAAAAAATAAAAATAAAAACAAAAAATAAAATAAAGTAGCCAAGGCTGCCAATTTCCAGGATGCTCCCTCTGCTTCTTCCTGGCTGGTGTTTCACCTGGTCCGCTTCCTGTGTCCCAGCCTGGAGAACTTCAAGGCAGAGATCATCTCTCTCCTATCCAACCTTTGAAATCTCAATACGAAAAGCCATGCCTTGTGTGAAGTGTGCACCATACACGGTTGTTGAGTGAATATATGAATCAATGAATGATGACACAAAATTGTCTAATATGTGACCTTTGATCCAAAGCCAATTTAGATATGGCGGCCAAAACAGGAGTATTTATATTAGGTTGCTTAGGTTTTGCCATTGCTTTCAATGGCAAAAATGGCAGTTACCCTTGCACCAACCTAATAGATTGTTCTTGAAAGAGCTTACAGTTATGTCATTGTGAAAAATCTACAGTGAAGTAGATTTTTCCTGAATAAATCTAAGATCCTAGTGTTCTGACTTATTTCACTTAAGCTATGAATTTGGCAATACATGCTGATGGGAGAAATAATGCTATAAAATACCTAATTTTCAAGCTGACCATATATGTCAGCATAGTAATATGAGTTGTTTGTTTGTTTGTTTTGAGACGGAGTCTTGCTCTGTTGCCCAGGCTGGAGTGCAGTGACATGATCTCAGCTCACTGCAACCTCCCCCTCCCTGGGTCAAGCAATTCCGCTGCCTCACCTCCTGAGTAGCTGGGATTACAGGCACACGCCATCACACCTGGCTAAGTTTTTTGTTTTTTTAGTAGAGATGGGGTTTTACCATGTTGGCCAGACTGGTCTCGAACTCCTGACCTCAGGCAATCCGCCCACCTCGGCCTCCCAAAGTGCTGGGATTATAGACATAAGCCACCTCTTATTTTTTTAGTAGAGACGGAGTTTTATCATGTTAGCCAGGTTGGTCTCAAACTTCTAACTTCAGGTGATCTGCCCACCTCGGCCTCCCAAAGTGTTGGGATTATAGGCGTGAGCCATGACACCAAGCTGATGTGAGTTATTTTATGCAATCACCACAACTTTGTGAGGTAGGAACTATCAAGAATGACCTTGATTTTATAACTGAGGAAAATGAAGCTAGGAAAGTGAAGAAACTTGCCCTAGAGCTTATATGTAACAAAACCAGGAAGTGAGCCTAGAGGCATGACCCAAAACCCATGCTCAGAACCACTGTACTCTGAGAAGATAGGATGTGGCTATTTAACATATTTGGGTAACAGCATATTCTGGGCTTTTGAATCTGCTACATAGTGTATACACAGTAATTAAGTCCCCCTCTTCTCTGTCTCTTCACTTTAATCTAAAGGATGCAGTGTTCTACTCCAGAACTTAATCTCCTGTTCTCCATCTGTGGGCTCTGAAGATTCGAATAATTCAGGAATGTAAAGATAATTAATTTGCAAACATTTCCACAGTGTTTAGGCTGCAGTATAGGTGACATGCCAATCAGCCTTACACTATTACATAAGCATTTCAACAATGAACTCCTAATACAGAGGGTAGATTCAGCTGAGAAATAAAATGTAACAAAATAAAATCTAGATAAA